TAAAAAAAAGACTCTGTAGTGACCTGCATCTCGACGCGCTCTTTCAAACAAAAAAAAATTTAAATATATTGCCCGAGCCCGGACTGAGAATTCCTTGTCCCAAAATCAAAAAATCATAAATCGAGAAAAAACGAAAAACATTTTTTGTTCTTTTAAAAATAAGTATATTTTTCAAGAAGAGGTTAATGAAAATCATCGAAAATTTGGCCAAAAACAAAGTACCGAAGAAAAATCAATGTGGTTTCTGAAAAAGCGAAAGACGGGCTATCTTCCCATGCACTTATCTCAATTTCGAAAATTTTGACGAAAATTGACATTTTTTGAGGGGGGGGGAGGCCTATAACGCAGTCCATACATAAATTATCAATAATTATTATTATAAATCGTAAATTATCCGAAATTACTTTTTTCACACAACAACATTGAGCTGTCCTACGGATTATTTTTGCATCAATCTTTACTAAATTTCTTCAAATTCTTCAACATTTTACAGAATTCTAGATTCAATGCTACGAAACGCGTTTTCTTTGAATGAAAACGTAGTGAAATGAGTTTTCTAACAGAAGATAACTGTAGAATACACTCTGATGTTCAATGCTAGCCTAACTTCGAAACAGCCTTAGAAAACGACGTAATTCGTTGAAGTCTTAGAAGAACTTAATTCTGGCCTTGGCTAAGGAAGACCTGCGCTGCCATCTTGAGGATCAAAAACAATGCAATCAGCAAATTTTTTGTAAAACCATTTCGCATAATTTCCAAAATCATATCAGAGTTGACTTTTCTTAACTCACATGCTTTTTGAAGATGAATTGGTGCGAGATGCTCTAACAAAAGAGATCAGTTTTGCATCATTCGAAGCGTAATCGATGCAAATGCATTTTAAAAGAACCTGTTTCGCATTTTCTCCGAGTTGTGACTCTGTACAATGCTTTTCTTGTCGACTTAATGAGTTTAGCAGCGTTTCATTTGGGAAACGCTTCGAAACGTAATCGCAAAAAGAAGCGTTTCGTATCGTTTCAAAAACTCAAGGCAGCAAAACGCGTTCCATATAAGTAAATATACTGTGAAACGCATTCCGTCTCGAAGAAACGCTGCGAAACGCATGTCCCAATCTCGGAAACGTGTTACACAGTGCGTTTCCTTAGATATTTTACGCCATGGGCAATAACCAATAAAACTTTAAACTCTATCATGCTAAAGAAGCGAATACTGTTTTAAATTTTATGTCATAAAAAATGAACTCAATCGCGAAGAGAGATTTCAAACAATGGAATCAATTCTGAATTGAAGACATTAGCCAACAGTTATTTTATCTTCATTCAAATGAACAAAAAATAAAACAATGACGATTCCAAAGGAAAAATTCTCATCAAATAAATGATTTATGTGATTAATTCATCTTATAATATATTTGATCTGATTAGTATTTTGTCAAATAGAATTTAATCTTCTATTGATCAAAGCAAAATTGTTTTTGTTTATTCTATAGAAAATATCTTCAAAAGAAAACAACTTAATCAAAAAGAATATAATGAAAAGAAAATTCTGTCGATATCATTCAGTGTGCAAACTGAGAACATGGATTATCGATGAGAAAAGAATTAATAGACGAAGGTGATTAAGACTTACATTAGCCTATGATATATATTTGAACACACAGCAAAGGTGTCATGATTGTTGATGTATTTTATTAAAAATTTCTTGAATATCATTCATAGAATGATAATTAATATGTTTATCAATATCAATAAGACATATTCGATTTTGATCATGATAATTTTTACCATAATTTCTAATTATATCATTTAAATTTTTTCTTTGTTTATCATAAGCACTATCTGATATAAAAACCATTTTCAATAATAGTCATAACTGATAATTTTGTATTTAGTTTTTTTCTTTCAAGAATCATATCATAAATTAGTTTTAAACCATGATTAAATATATTTTCAGCTGATGGTTTATAAGTTAAATCATTTGTTCCACCTAAAACAATAATCCAATCATAATGAAAAGGGTGTGGGTGTGCATGTGCGTATTATTGTGGAGAGTAGATACTTATTCAATCGCTCGCCGATACCCACACCCCTGGTGAATTTAAAAAATCTAACGTTTCGATAATTGAATCAATTGGACAAATTTCATTGAATCGAACAAATGCTCATCATTCTACAGAAAAGGATAAGGTATCATTAGTTAATTTTACATTCGATGCGATTACTCTGATGTGTCTTTCGATCAACAATTCAATTTACCATGTTGTTTGAAGTTTCGTTGCACCGAAAATATGATCTGATTGACAACGTTAGTGACCGATGCTGATTTATATTAATTCATTCATTTAATGCCAAGGTGAATGAAAAACTATTAGATAGCGCCCAGAGACAATGAATTTGTTTTGATCAATTATGAAAATCATTGGAAAAAAACTGATATTTTTAAAAATTTTATTGAATAATGACAAAAAAGAAGGGCACTACAGAAAAGTGAATGTCTATGCTTTTGTGGATTTTCCTTCTTACAAACGAGTTAGT